AGCTCCTAGCCAGCTGCCATTTTGAGGCTAATTTTTTTAATCAGCCATTTCAGTTTTAGATTAGCCTTGATCCTGAGCCTGCCCAGGAATTCCTTTTCTTACATATGTGCCTTTTCTGAAGTAAACTTTTTTTTTTTTTTAACCTACAGCTGATTTTTTTGGGGGTGGTTTTGTTTGGATTTTGTCAGTTCTTGTACTAGAGGAGCAAGCTTTTAAGAACACACACACACACACACACACATACACACGCTTGTGCACACGTGCACAAAATTAAAAATAGAATAAAATATGCACAGTGTGACTTTTAAAAATGAAAGAATTGAACAACTGGGTATTAAATTGATTAATTAGAGTGGATAAAATGGAGGTGAAGGGTGCAGAGCACTCTTTATTTGGATGATACATGACCTTGTAAGACACTGCACTTCATTTGCTATTAGATCGCACTTGAGAAAGGGCTTTATTAAAACCATTCTAGGGTGAGCTGAGGTAAAACATATTGTTAAAAAAAGCTTTTGACAGAATATGTTATATACTTCAATGTGCTTCAGTGATTTCTGTCACTTTTTATACTACACATGTTGCTGTTCAAGAAAAGTTAAAAGTCTAGACATTTTCATCATATTTCTATAAGAAACAGAAATTTAAATAGTTGAAGTAATAATGGGAGCATTTAGTGTTGCTTCGACTTCAGAGTTGACATAAAACCCTATAACTGCCTCATCGCTAAGTAGATTTTAAAGGATACTGTATCTGCTCCATTTGGTGTGTGCATGCAGCTCTTATTAATGTCAATAGGAGTTATGTATGCATGTTAAAAGGAGAATATAGCCCCCGCACTTTTATTTACAATAGCTATTGTTACAGATTAATCACAAAAGTTTAGCATATTACTCCTAATTATCTCCCCTCCAATCGCAAAATAAGAACCTGTGGGAAAAGATCATGTCAATCAAACAAAAGTGCATTCCACGTCAGGTTTGTTTTTTGTAAAAGGCCTGATTCTACCACCTTGACTCACATGAATAGGCTATTAAAATCAGTAGCAGTGCTTGTGGTGTAAGGAACTACTCCCCCCAAAATATTCTACTGAATATATAATTAAAAGTAGGCCTATTCATGTGAGTCAAGGTGGTAGAATCAGATATAATTTTCTCTATTCTCCCTTTTTGTAGGGACTCAGATGCGGTGATGATAAGGTCAGATAGCTAGATGGGTAGATAGATATCCCCCATCTTCCCTCTGTCTAAGGTTTCCTGTCAGCAGCCATTTCTGGAAGCTTAGAACACTGGAATACAGTCAGTGGCAGTTATTCTTCTCATGGTGTGTTTTGGCTTAAGTTTTCTTGGTTCCCATAGGCATGTCTAAACTGCAGTTAAACACTTGCAGCTGGCCCGTGTCTGTTAACTAAGGCTCGCTGAGTTTGGGCTGTGGGGTTATAAAATTGCAGTGTAGATGTTCAGGCTCGGACTGGAACCCAGGCTCTGGGACCACATATGGGAGGGTCCCAGAGCCTGGGTTCCAACCTGAGCCCGAATGTCTACACTACAATTTTATAGCCCCATAGCCAGAGTCAGCTGACACAGGCCATCCACGAGTGCTTTATTGCAGTGTAGACATACCTTGTGAGTCACTTAGCTTTAAAAAAGCAGTTTTGATCGTACAGTTGATTCACCTATAAACACTTTTGTTTTCAAGCATAATGGTTGAGCAACAGGCTTCTGCATAACCTAATACCTACAACTGGAAGTGGGTTGTAAAATTTAGATCCAGAGCCAAACTCTTGCAGTTGTTGCGAGCTGGGATTTGGTTCAGTCCATTATGCATAGGGAAAGACAGGAAGCTCAGTCCCGGTTCTGAACTTCAAAAAGTTTATTGCATTTGGGGTCAGGGCTCTGGTTTAGGTCCATCATTGCTCAGAATATATTAAGTCACAGAAAGAAATCCAAGAATTCAATTTTAGTTTTTCCATAAAAGGTAGCTATTTTCAAAGAGACACTTTTAAAAAAATGTCCTGAAGCGTGATTTTCAAGCTGACGTGTGTTTATGTATTTATAGGTGTTAGACTGCTGCGGGAGCACTAAAGGGGAAAAGACCACTTTTTTGAAGATAGTAAAAAGTTTATATTGTGTCCAGGGTTGGAATATTTTAGCTAGTAAAATTATGACTGTAGTGCAGACTTGTCCACACCTGTCTTTTATGTAAACTGAATCAGGGTTAAAGGAATGTTTCCCACCTTATACAGTTGTTCAAAGGAGGCTAGAAAGGCAAATAGAAAGCCATGTTTTTGGCTCTGGTTACTATTTCTGCGATGGAGGGCAGGCTCAGGCTCAGAAATTCTTGGGATCCAGTTCAAGCACTGCCCGACATTTGTTACTGTTAATTGCAACTGTGCTGTCAGCTTTGATTACCGGATATTTCACTTGAGTGGCTTCTTGGTGTTTTGGCAAAGAGAATGTCAAAGTGGTTTATACAGGGATACGTTTTCCAAGCTCCTGTTGACTTCAATGGGACTTGTGCAGATAAATACCCACATACTGCTTTAAAAATTTAGGGGACAGCATGATTGAAGCATGTGTAAATTAAATACAGCAAAGATCTGGGGTGTCTGCTGAGTAAAGTGTATAAAAATATAAAATTAAAGACTGAACGTGATACCACAGCCTATTTAGGTACCATAAAACAGATCTACCTCCTACATCACATTTTCTTTTGACTTTATACATAACATTAAATCCCTTTAAACAATTATTTGTACATGGAATAAATGTGTGAAGCAAGTTTGATCCCTAAATGCCAAAAATAAAATATATAGAAAAAATATATGGAGATATACCTATCTCATAGAGCTGGAAGGGCCCCTGAAAGGTCATTGAGTCCAGCCCCCTGCCTTCACTAACAGGACCAAGAACTGATTTTTGCCCCAGATTCCTAAGTGGCTCCCTCAAGGATTGAGCTCACAACCCTGGGTTTAATAGTCCAATGCTCAAACCACTGAGCTATCCTTTCCCCCAAAAGTCCTTATGAAGGTTTTATATGATATAGTAGGTTTTATATGGTATAGTATATAAAGATATACACATAATGCAAGTATGTGTCATGTATATCATACATATTCAGTGAATAAACATGTTGGATGAGTAAATACGCTGGGCAACATTTTATATCCATCAATAAATTGCAATTAAATCCCCCTTTCAGAAATTCCAAGAACTAAATCTGTTAACAAAATAAAGTACATGCCAATGGTATTTAAATATTCTCCACTGTATTATTTTTTGAGTGTTTTCTCTCTCTTTTTATTTTTTAGGTAAAGATGAGCCTTCAAGCTATATTTGCACAACATGCAAGCAGCCTTTTAATAGCGCTTGGTTCTTGCTTCAGCATGCCCAGAACACACATGGATTCCGCATCTACCTGGAAACCAGCCCTTCAAACAGTTCCCTTACTCCACGCATCACCATCCCTCCTCCTCTGGGACCAGAGACTGTTGCACAGTCCCCGCTGATGAATTTCCTTGGAGACAACAACCCTTTTAGTCTTTTGCGGATGACGGGCCCCATCCTACGTGATCACCCTGGGTTTGGTGAGGGTCGGCTCCCCAACACACCTCCACTGTTCAGCCCACCGCCTCGTCATCATCTGGATCCACATCGCCTTAGTGCCGAAGAAATGGGGTTAGTTGCCCAGCATCCCAGTGCCTTTGACAGAGTTATGCGTTTAAACCCCATGGCAATTGAGTCCCCAGCGATGGATTTCTCCAGAAGGCTTCGAGAACTGGCAGGAAACAATTCTACCCCTCCTCCAGTCTCACCGAATCGCACCAACCCTATGCATCGCTTGTTGAATCCTTTCCAGCCTAGCCCTAAATCACCCTTTTTGAGCACCCCGCCATTGCCACCAATGCCCCCAAGCAGCACTACGCCGCCGCAGCCTCAGGCGAAGAGTAAGTCCTGTGAATTCTGTGGGAAAACATTCAAGTTCCAGAGTAATCTTATCGTGCACCGACGCAGTCATACAGGAGAAAAGCCCTACAAATGTCAACTCTGTGATCATGCTTGCTCCCAGGCCAGCAAGCTAAAACGTCATATGAAAACACATATGCACAAAGCTGGCTCCATGACAGGCAGGTCAGATGATGGACTCTCCACCACAAGTTCTCCTGAGCCAGGCACAAGTGAGCTCACTGGAGAGGGACTAAAATCCAGTGAGACGGATTTCAGGAATGAGAGTGATCCCTCCCTGGGCCATGACAATGAAGAAGAGGAAGAAGAAGAGGAGGAGGAAGAGGAGCTTGAAAATGAGAGCAGGCCAGAGTCAAGCTTCAGCATGGACTCAGAGCTAAGTCGTAACCGAGAGAACGGTTCCAAATCGCTACCAGATGAAAAATCCCTTGTCCTTGGAAAAGTTATAGAGAATGTAAGTCTCGGTGCCATCCAGCAATACAATGACATGCTAGCTGAAAAACAGAAGAGGAGTAGCTTCATGAAAAGGTCTTCTGATCAGCGAGACCTGTGTCCTCGAGACCTCTGTCAGAGAGACACAGGCGACGAAGACTCAGTGGCAGGAGAACTTGACCGCACTGAGGAAGGGACGGTCAATGGAAGAAACTTTGGCCCAGGAGAACCCTTCCCAGGCTTGTTCCCTCGCAAGCCAACACCTATCACGAGCCCCAGTTTAAACAACTCTTCTAAAAGAATAAAAATAGAGAAAGATTTGGACTTACCACCAGCAACAATAATACCTTCTGAAAATGTTTACTCCCAGTGGCTGGTAGGGTATGCAGCATCAAGGCACTTCATGAAGGATCCGTTTCTAGGATTCACAGACTCCCGACAATCCCCCTTTGCAACTTCTTCTGAGCATTCTTCAGAGAACGGAAGCCTGCGTTTCTCCACTCCACCAGGTGACATGTTGGATGGGGGTCTCTCAGGGCGCAGTGGGACAGCGAGCGGAGGCAGCACTCCCCACATCAGTGGACCTGGTCCCGGTCGACCCAGTTCAAAGGAAGGGCGGAGGAGCGATACATGCGAGTACTGTGGCAAGGTCTTTAAGAACTGCAGCAACTTAACGGTGCACCGCCGGAGCCACACTGGAGAGCGGCCTTACAAATGCGAGCTCTGCAACTATGCATGTGCCCAGAGCAGTAAGCTGACACGTCATATGAAAACGCATGGCCAGATAGGGAAGGAGGTCTACCGCTGCGACATTTGTCAGATGCCCTTCAGTGTTTACAGCACCCTGGAGAAACACATGAAAAAGTGGCATGGAGAACATTTGCTGACAAATGACGTCAAAATTGAGCAGGCAGAAAGAAGCTAAGACCCCCACTGGGTTAAATCTGGGGTCTAGGTAACATTTAATTTGTACAGTTTAACTATTGCCAACTGAGAAAAGCTGACCTAACTTGCCTCCGTAAACATAACTTAGCATAACTATAGTAGGTGCCAGACCTTGGCACTTAAATATAACCTGTGTCTACAAAGTTCTATTAAACCTGAGGGTTGATTAAGGCAGTAAAATTGTGGAGCCTTTTAACTGTGCAATAATTTCTGTATTTATTGGGTTTTTGTAATTTTTTGGCATGTGCAGGTACTTTTTTTTTATTCTTTCTGTTTAAATTTCTTTTAAAATTTTGTTGGGTATCCCTTTTTAATTTTACCCAGTAGTAGCCTGAGATTACTTGCATTGTAGGGGGAGAGGCATATCTTTTTAAATTATAATTTTGGGGCCGCTGCTTTGTTGAAATTTAAGCTAAGCATGTGTAATTTCTTGTGAAGAAGCCAACATTTTAACGGAATTCTTTCTTTTCTTCTTCTTCTTCTTCTTCCTTTTTTGGAAAATAACCTTGGAGATTAGGGAAAATAAAATTGTACAGCGGATAACAATCTTTAAAATTAGCACTTTCTTTTGGAATTGGATCTGATATGTAGCACTGACAATGTCGCTAAAGATAGAGGCCTTTTCTGTGTAGACTTCAACATTAAAGTTATGTCAACTAAAAAGACATGGGTGCAGGTATTTTCTGAAGGCAGCTACATTGAACAAAGCAATAACATTCTTAATTGTGGATTATTATCAGATAGTTTCTTAGCATTATTAATGATATGTACTGAGATGCCGCCATTTTGTCACTTGTTCCAGGTTCAGTAATTAAAATAACCGAAAGAATCCTCACAGTTGTAATAAAAGCTCTTTTAAGGTATTGTAGCATCCTTCTCCACCCTTGGATGAATAAAATGCCATTCTTTTAGTTTAACACACACACACACACACACACACACACACACACACACACACACACACACACACACACACACACACACACACACACATAC